TATATATATATATATTTAAAGGTTTTTGCCATAGGGGACTCACCAGAGAGAGACAGAGACAGTGACAGGGAAAGTGAGAAATGTAACGACTAATCAATAAGAGAGTATAAATGTCTATCCCCTTGGCTCAATTCAGAACGACTCTAAAGGAAAGCCCCAGCTACAGAGCCCCCAGTGGGATCGCCTGAGGTCTGGGTTGCAATGTTCGTGATTCAACAACCCTACCGCTCCACCTTGCTTCCTTCACTCCATTACAGGGGTCGTCCTCAATAACATCCCATTAATCCTCCTGCACACACATTTCCAACTCGGAATCCAGGGAACTCAACCGAAGACAACTGGTTAGTGACAGTGATCCTAGGAATCTGATTCTAAAACGGGATTGGAAGCCAGGTCACCTGCCAGCCAGCTGCCAATGAGAACCCGTTCCAGGTGAGTGGCGTACTCACAGCACCTGGCACGCTGTGGGGCTGTGGTTACTAATTCGAATCCACTCGTTTGAAGCTGTGTCTCGGTTGTTTATAAACATACGAATAAATAAAACCTGGAGCTCTTTTATTTATCTCATGGAAGTTTCTCTCGCCAAAGCTTGAGCAAGATCGCCACCTCCTGGAGCCATGAATGAGCGCGGGCGACTGAGGGGCGCTCATTCCGCGGACGAAGCCGCAGAACGCCAACTCCCTCTCTCCATGAAGTTAGCCAGTTCCTAATCCTTCTCTACTGTGTAAGCAGGCTTTTGCATAGAACCAAGACTTCAAAGAACTTGCAATCACAATAGTTTTACGTCCACATTTAAATGAAAGTTAGCACTTGTGGAGCACTTTCGTAATCCTCCCAAGTGCCTATGCAGTAGGAACTACTGTCAGAAATAGTCCACATTGAGAGTGAGGAAATGAGGATCAGGGGACCTAAAAGTGCCCGGGCTGCCGGTGAAGTCCGCGCGTGAATACTCAAAACTGCAGGTAACATAGGTCCGGTAACTAAGCAACCGCCTCTCGCTCTCCCCGAGCATGCGCAGAAAAACACGGAGGCATTCTCACCCCGCTCCCTCCCCAGACGCGTAGAAGGCGGGCTCGGAGTGGGGCGGGGCCTCGCACGTCCCAGCGTTCCTTTCGTGCCGCCAAGATGGCGGCGCCCGTGCTGCGGTGCTTTTGTCGGGGTTCGTGGTCGGGTCCCCGGGGCCCGTCAGGAGTCTTGCGTCCAGGGCTGCGTAAAGCCCACTCGGGCGCGCAGGGGCTACTCGCGGCGCAGAGGGCTCGGGGTCTATTCAAGGAGTTCTTCCCGGAGAGGGGGACGAAGATAGAGCTCCCGGAGCTCTTCCATCCGGGCACGGCGGGTTACTCGCCCCAGACTATTTACTGCGGCTTCGACCCCACGGCCGACTCACTTCACGTGGGGCACCTGCTTGCGCTGCTGGGCCTCTTTCACTTCCAGCGAGCCGGCCACAATGTGATTGCACTGGTCGGAGGCGCCACAGCGCGCCTGGGAGACCCCAGCGGCCGCACCAAGGAGCGCGAGGCGCTGGACTCGGATCGCGTAGAAGCGAACGCGCGCGCCCTCCGCCAAGGGATCGAGGCGCTGTCAGCTAATCACCAGCAGCTCTTCAGTGATGGGAAGACCTGGGGCAGCTTCACGGTGCTGGACAACTCGGCCTGGTACCAGAAACAGCACCTGGTGGACTTCTTGGCAGCAGTGGGTGGCCACTTCCGCATGGGCACGCTGCTGAGTCGTCTGAGCGTGCAGACTCGGCTCAAGAGCCCCGAGGGCATGAGTTTGGCGGAGTTCTTTTACCAGGTGCTACAGGCCTATGACTTCTACTACCTGTTCCAGCGTTACGGATGCCGGGTCCAGCTGGGCGGGTCTGATCAGCTGGGCAACATCATGTCTGGATATGAGTTCATCCACAAGTAAGCGGCCTTAGAACCTGGAGAAATCCTGGGTCTCAGTAACTTTTACACGGGTATCTGTGACTCGCTATAAGGATGGGAAATGCTTTCCTTCGTTCAAGCCCTTAGCAGTTTCATCCCCATTAAGGGTCTGTACCAGCATTGACAGCGTTGGCTAGTGAGAACACAAGGGCTGAATTAAGAATATTTATGAGTGAGCTGAAGGAAGCAGACTACTAGTCAGGATTCAGACTGTCATGTTTTACTTCCCCAAAGTCATCTTTACTCTGTAATTTAGAAGTTGCTTTTTTTTGTTGTTTATATTTGACAGCAGCAGGGCCTCCTGTAGTAGTTTTTGCTTTAGCTCTGCCTCCTCCAGGAAGCTAATTTTAGTCCTTGGTTGGCATCTCTAAGTATTTGACAAGTAATGTAGATTTAATGGCATCTTCTTTCAAAAGATAAAGTACAGGGCTAACCGGTGTGCTACAGAGCAAAACTCAATTTTTAAAACATTCTTAGTGTCTCTTCCTAGTTTCTCCTTTACCCCCTTCTCGCCTCTTCCTACCTAGCCTTTCAAAATGTTTAGTTCCTAGTTATACTGTGTATCTCCTGGGTCTTTCAGAACCACAGGTACAATTGCTGTTCAGAATGACAGATGGGAAAATAAGGTGGGTGCGGTAAAAATAAGGACAGAGAGCTAGCAAGCAGATGGAGTGGTGGTTAAGGCACTGGACTCCCATGTGGTCTACCATGGTTCAAGTCCTGGACCAAGGAACTTGAAAATTACACTGGGGATGTGTGCAAGTGTGCTCAAAATCCCAGGAGGAGAATGAAGGAGAAGGGACTGTGGCATGGCCTTCTCCCAGGGGGTGATTTCCCAGTTTCCTTCTCTCGGTCTCTCACTGGCCGTCCGCGTGCCTTATGGCAAAAACCTTACCAAAAAATAAATAAATAAAAAGGAAGGATAAGCACCTAGATTTCTTTTTGTTTTTTCTTTTTTTTTTTTTTTTTTTTACTTTTTTTTGGGGGGAGGAGGTTTTTGCTATAGGGCGCTTGCGCTCGCCAGACAGACAGAGAGACAAAGAGACAGAAAGCGAGAAATCACCTCCCAGGAGGGATGGCCATGCAGCAATCCCTTCTCCTCCATTCTCTTCTCGGGATCTTGGGCACGCACACACACACGCCCAGAGTGAGTTTTAAGCCACCGGGTCTGGGACACGAACTGTGGTCAACTAAATGGGAATCCAGCGACATAGCCATTACACTAACTGCTAGTCCCAAGGTTAAGTAAGTTTTCTTAGAGCAAGTAATAAGACTTGAAATCTGAAGGACGACCGGTGGAAGGAAGCTACCAGTACTTGTGCTTGAAGCGCATCATGACATTTATGTTAATGCACAGGTTGACTGGAGAAGACGTATTTGGAATCACAGTCCCTCTGATTACCAGTACTACAGGAGCAAAGCTGGGGAAGTCTGCTGGCAATGCCGTTTGGCTAAACAGAGACAAGACATCTCCGTTTGAATTGTATCAGTTCTTTGTCAGGCAGCAAGACGATTGCGTGGAAAGGTGAGTTCTTACCCAGTGGACTGAGAAAAGTTAGTGTCCTAAGTTCATGATACAATTTTAGTCATTGATTTCTCTGTATGTTCCATGGTTTTGTTTGTTCCCAGTGTTTTTCACTTAGATTCTATTTAAAGTAGTTAAACCATGATGACATCACAGAACACTGTAAATATTATTAGTGATTTATTTATTCAGTTCTTCCATGAGTAAGAGACAGAGAGCAAACACACTGCCCCCCACCCCCAACACGATCTTAAGGCTGGAATCTACTTCATGTGCCCTGCTTACTCAGGGCGGTCTCCAAACTTCAACCAGAAGCTTGCTACAGAGCAAAAATCAATTTTTAACATTCTTAGTGTCTCTTCCTAGTTTCTCCTTTACCCCCTTCTCTCCTCTTCCTACCTAGAAGCCTTCCCAGGTGGGATTGCCTTTCAGAGCAGTTCCATTTTACTCCAGCACCACTGTCTGGCTCCCTCCCCCGGAAAGTTGTCATCTTAACTGTGTTTTGAAGTTGAACAGTTTTTGGTGGTTCATACAGAAAATCACTGTGGGTGACTAGAAAACTGAGGCCAAGTTTCTTATCTGTATCCAAAAAGTGCTTGGGATTTTATTGCTTGTTTAGTCTAGCTTTTTTTTTTTTTCACTCCTTTCACCCTAAACTTCACTGCCCTTATTTTCCTTTTGTCTCTTCCAAATATGACTCAAAGGTACCTTTTCTTTAATGTTGCATAAGACACCTTAAAGATCTTAAAAATGGTTTTATTGGCCCAGTAGGTGGCATGGAGGTTAAGGTGGCTGGATTTCACATGGCTGATTGTACAGTTCAAGTCCTGGACCCAGAAACTTGAAAACCATGCTGGACATATGTGCATGTATGCCCAAAATCCTGAGAGGAGAATGGAGGAGAAGGGATTATGGCATGGCCATCCCCAGTAAGGGTGATTTCTCAGTTTCCCTCTCTGTCTCTCTTTGGCAAGTGTATTTTCCCTATAACGAAAACCTTAAAAAATGGTTTTATTAATTTACATTGTCTTAAACTCTTAGAATATAAATTAATGAGAAAACAAATATACCTCCAATAAAGAGGAAGTGAAACAAATATTTTGATACTACTATCTCATCAATCTAGGAATAATTCTTTTTTTTTACACACACAAAAAAAATTATTGGCAGAGGGCACATATGCTCACCAGAGAGAGAGAGAGAAAGAACACTCCCAACAGGGTATGGTCATATTTCAGTCCTTTTTCCTACATTTCTCTATTGCCTCAGGATTTTGGATATGCATATGCATGTGCCTGGCATGTTTTTTAAGCTGCCAGGGTTGGGATGCAGAGTGCGTCAGCCATCTGGGGTCTGGCTCCCAATGCATAACATTTAACCTCTGTGCTATAGGCCAGCCCTAGAAGTAATTCTTTAAGTTTTAAAAATATTTAAGACTTTCTTACAAAACATTATAATACCGTATTGACAAATCAAGGAGAGCTACACACATAGGAGAGTTATACTATGTTCATAGTACAGAAAGTTATATTTCTCTATATATTCACATACTCAGTGCAGTCCCAGCCATATTGAAACAGGCTTTTCTTGTGGAACTTGACAAGCTCATTCTAAGATTTACATGAAAATAATCAGCTATGCTGCAGTCCCACACACACCCACTTGTTTTTCAAGTCACAGGGTCCAGTCTTGAGCCATAAAGTTGGTCATGTGAGATTCAGCTGCCCTAACCTCCATGCCACCCACTGACCCAAGAAAGATTCCTTTTTTTTATATGAGCATTTTTTAATATTTTTCAAGTAAGTGTTTATTTAAGTTTATTATTATTTTAATTTGCTATAGGGCATGCACGCTCCCCAGAAAGAGAGACATGGAAAGTGAGAAAACAAGCTTTCAGGTCCAGGACTCCAACCATGTCTATGTGGAAGTCTAGGGCCCTAATCACCATACCACCTCCTGGCCCCCAAGAAAGCTTCTTAAAATAGTTCACAAAGATTAATAATTTAGATTAAATTAGGATAAAGATCTATTGTTCATCAAAAGTCACCATTAAGAGTGGGAGAACATGTTTTCAATATGTGTATTTAACTTATAAACAGACTGTATTGAAACTACTAGAAAGTGGGCCACCAGTTGACTTGGTGGCTGAGACTCTGGATCCCACAGGGCCAACTTTGCAGTTTGAGTCTTGGACTAGGCAGCCTGAAAAAAAAAACCAACAAAACAAAACAAAAACAATGAGCATATTTGTGTGCATGCCCAAAATCCTATGAGGAGAAGGGATTGCAGTGTGGGCCACCACCACCACTTCCCTGAGGCAATTTTTCACTTTCTCTCTTTCTCGTCTCTTTCTGGTGATGCATGTGTCTTATGGCAAAAATATCTAAAATAATAATAATAAATACTACAAAGAATTTATTGGGCCAACCAGTTGGCATGCTGGTTAAAACAACTGGATCCCACATGGCTGACTGCGCAGTTTGAGTCCTGGCTCCAGCGACTTGAAACGCAAGACGTGTGTGCGTGCATGCCCAAAATCCCAAGAGAAGAGACTATGGTATGGCCATCACCCCCACCCCCGAGGGGTGCTTTCTCACTTTCTTTTTCTGTCTCTTTCCAGTGAACACATAGGAAAGGCCTTAGGTTCACGTTCTGGAACCTCCCTGAGCACACCAGGCCAGCACGTGCATGTGTCTGTGGTCTGAGCCAGCTAAGACTAGGGGTAGATTCCAGTGTGAATACCCTGTTGGAAGTACTTATTGTATCTCTGTCACTTTCTTTCTCTCATGGGTGAAGTAAATCTTAAAAAACTTAAAAACACATTTGGGAAGGATGCACACAAATTTAGTTAGTGTTTATCTCCAGGGTTAAGGAAGGGAAGATGTTGAGGCTGGAGCCTTCATCTAGCTCTGTTTTTTTCCTTTTAAAAAATTGTTTAATGTTTATTTCTTCCATGAGCGAGAGAGAGAAGGCGACACCACCCTTAGCAGTGTCTTGACTACCTCTGTCTCAGCTGGCCCCGGGTAATGAGCACACATGCGTCTGG